AAACTAAAAATTGACAAAAATTATCTTATATTTCGTAACTCTTATTATCATCGAAGCTATCACTGCAAATATTAGAATTACTGTCATTATCGGAAGCTTTGTCCATGGATTCAAATAGTACTTAACTTAAATATTATGTACCCCAATGTGAAATATACTATTTTCATATAGGGTTGTTTAATTGAGAAACTTGAGATGCTTCAATACAATTTTAATAACACACACCAACTTAATTTAGGTGAAATGTTTCTTAAAAAAAAAACAATACTTTGGCACACAGTTTGTGGTAATATACAGGTTGTTATTTTTATGTAGGGACTCATTTATATTCCGTATTAGGTATTCATTTGTCTACATTAAATGTTAGATTATTATCAACACATTTTTATAAATAAAAATGAAACCCCTTCAAAATGACCAAAAGCAATTGCATGACACTAAACGTAACTCAAAAAGTTAGATCAGATACCTACTAGATTAAAAATAAGGTATTCACGATATGTATGTACGTATCCGTAATTTTCGATACGTGAATGTGTTCTTGTTTCTAGTAATAACACTAAAAATCAGTCACGATTACGTCCCTAATAAAATCTTTTCAAAAGACACGTACTTTATAATCTTTATACATACATTGTTGTGGTAAAATTATGTATTATACTTGCAAAAAAAAGTGCGCTTACATATAGATCACTCAAGGGAAAGTAGTTAAAAACCTATCTTTACCGCAAGATTAACCGTAATTAGGCAATTGTGGAAGTTGGTCTTCCAAAAAGTATGGAAAAACCCTTCGGTTTTTTCTAATGAGCAGACGTTTTAGTAATTCTAAGTATTTTTTTAAATGCTAAAAGTGAAGTAATAATTCGTTAATACATTTATAATTGGTCTTATTTTAATTCAATATTTAAACTACTGTTTATCGTTGTCACATCATTGTAATATCAGTCCTTGAACATACCACTACCACCTGAGAACCATATTAACAACATGAAGTGTATTGTAAGTATTTGAGGGTTGTTGTATGTTCATAAAAAATCTATCATGTTCAATTAACTTTATTTCTTTTTTCTGTGCAATTAAAAACGAAAACTATAATAGGTTCCGAATAATTATTTCAGGTGATAACCGTCCTCGCCTGTGTTGCCGCACTTGAAGCTAAGCCTCAACCCTACTTAGGACTCAACGGACTGGGAATGGCTGGTCTGGGAAGTGGTTATGGGAACGGTATGCTCGGAATGGGAATGCAAGGACTCGGGTTGGGTATGGGTGGACTGGGCGGACTGGGCGGAATAGGAACAAGCGGGTTGGGATATTCACAAGGCGGCGGTTATGGAGGCAGCCAATTCAATTCCGGTGCCGGCGGTTTAGCGAACCAGAACATGCACACCGGAGGAATGGGGAACTACCATGATATAGGCCAGCATCACAGCAGCCTCAGTTCCGTAAGTTTAAACTATAGAATACTATTCTCTTGTCTCAATGAATTCACAGACTAGGATTATGTTTAACAACTGTTCATCTTATTTACAGATCACCCAAGCTGAGAATACAGACAACCACAACATCGGCGGAGGCCAAGTGTTCGACACAGGCGCCCTGTCTGGAACAGGCTTTAACCAGTTCGCGAACGGTGGCAGCCGATATGGACACGGATTCGGAAGCGGACAGCAAATGAACTCGTTCATTTAATATATTTATATAAATGATTTAATTAATAGTAATAAATAAATAAGGATATAAAGCTTAAATTTACTTTTTCTTCTTGTCACGTAAAACCCAATTTTTTTTCGAACTCTGAACTGATCCAAACACATACAATAAATGTGTACACCTATTTCAAAACTTGGAGCTTTGAAAATGAATAAGATTAAAAGGGCCCGTTTGCTATTACATGAACCTGGAAGATTCAAGTTTATCATCAGTTGATAGAGCTTTATATTGTGACAGTTTGACATTCCGATTAGAATATTAAAAGTGCTCCGACTACAATTCCAGTTTGATATCCACAACGTATTGCTGATCAAATGTGGTCCTTGTACTACAAGGGATAGCAGGCCACGTCTTTCTTTCGATTGTCAATATCTTGAAACTTTGTGAGACTCATTGTTACGACTTTCAGAGAGTATCTACCTTCACCATGATATAAGGAAAAGGATTGCATACGTTTGGATTGACATTTTTAAAATTTAGATCTTAGATCATCCCTACTATATAATATAAATGCGAAAGTAACTCTGTCTGTATGTCTGTTAGGCTTTCACGCCGAAACCAGTGAAGTCTGAACTGATTTTAATGAAATTTGATGCAGGGATAGAGTTGATCTTGAGAAAGAACATAGGATAATTTTTATCCCAGACTTTTGAAAAGTTCTCTTGGAAACGCGATATAACCGAACTCGCGGGCGGAAAGCTAGTACAAAATAAGTCTAAATATACTTTAAAAAAGTCTATAATATTTTCTGCTACAAGTATACCTAGTGTAGTTTTAGAGTTGGTAGTTTTTATATATAATTTCTAAATGATTAACTTTTCTCTATCATACCCTTAGTGAAATCACTAACTTCCAATCTTTTTATGCGAATTTAGTTTTATACAGGAGACAATATTTTTACATTTTCTATTAATACCTTCCCGTGTTTTACAATTCTAAACCCCGACTTTTTCGATTGTCCACTCACGTCTGCTAGGCTTTTGTTCAAAGGTATATTGTGCTAATATTAAACTGAATTCAGATCCAATATCTTTTCTTAACTTTTTCTTTACGTTATATGTTATTGTCCTTCAATGTCCTAGATGACATACCCTTTCGATTTGGTACCACAAAGGCTAGGTCTCACTTACGCGGTCAACCTATGTAGCTACTACTAATTTTACTTCTGTAAATATTTCATCTTAAGAGATATAGGCTTTCGGTAATTAAATATTACATCGATGTGAAATATCATATATCGGATAGGGGTGTTTATATAAATTTAATGATATTTATTTGTTTTCCATTTATTTTTTAAGTAATTATTGATAGTTAGATTGGTAGACGTAAGGTTTCAAAAATTTATTTGACAATAACACTTTTTATTAACTGTATTAATATATGTTCGTCTATATAAATCTTTTCCGGCAATATTATGGACTTTGAACTAGAAGATTATCAATACTATTTGAAAACAGGGCTTATATCTACATTGTGGTTACTACGTTGTGTAATACATGGTTGTCATCGGTTTCTTATGTTGACAGTTAATTGATGAAATATAATCAGAATTCATAATTATAATAATAGCCTTAATATAATAAGAAAAAAGGATACAAAATAGCTTCGACTGCTGATCATAAAGTGGGGCTTGTTTCGGTCTTATATATTGGTCATTACTTAATTTTAAAGAAATTAACTCAATATGCTAAAAAGGTGTTTGACAATGGTCTGGCTAAAGATGAAAGTTTTTTGGCTGGAAGTCACAAATCTATTCTTTTTCTGTGTTCAAACAGTTTCAGAGCATTGCATTTCACGAGTTCAATACCAGAATAAATTTACGCAGCCACGCATTCTTCCAGAATGAGGTTCGCTTAATTTAACTAGAAGAACTTTAACCCAGGGTAAGCATTTATGCAGTATGAAAGGCAATTCTAATCCTACCTGGAGTAGTGCTTTTATCACTAGGCTGATGCACCCGCATAATACTTGGATGTTTTACTACTTTCAAAAACGACGGATGAGAATTTTCATCGACCCTGTGGTTTCATGTTGTGTAGAACCATAAAATTTAAAGAGATTTCACTTCCCCTACACGTGTTCTTTCGCTTGTATTATGGCAAGTCTTTCGAGGAATTATTTTAGAGGAGCTTCTTCCCGTGACCGCCTGCATTATGAAATAAACTAAGTTTGAGGTTTTTCTGAGACAACAGTACTTAAAGAATATAGGTTTTTAGGTGTTCAAAGGGTGCAGGGATCCAAAACCTTTTTTATTTTCGACTGGACTGTAGCTGTAAGTTCTATTGTCTTTGACAGCATCACAGGGACAAAGGGTTAGGGTGACCGCTTGCCATGCCATTAACGACCAGACGATGTGGAATAAAAAATAGCCATAAGACTTTTAATCGTTTTGTCTAAAGGATAACTGACAAATGTAACGATTTTCTAAGTTTGGTTTTATCATATTTTAATTTAGATATACTAGTAAATAAAATAACAGGCAGACCCTGGCTTAAGCTGGGAAATTACCAGGAAGAAGAAGATACTAGTAAATAACAAAAAGAAAATTACTATTATATCAAATTTAAATCGAAATAAAATCGGCATCTTGCTATAACGTAAAGTATTCATTAGTATAATTTTGGTTTCTAACAATTTTTCTTTTTATTATTCTTAGTATGTACTGTGTGGAGAAATCACAAAATCGTACATTTTATATTGAACTTATTTTTAAAACATGGTGTCAACAAATTACTTTTGCCGATCTAAAATTTTACTGTTAACCATATACACAAATACACCTAATTGAGAATTAGCAAAAAAATACTTTATCTACGGGTACAGTGATGAAATTCCTAGCTTTGTAAGTAAATATTAAAAATCCCAGTTTTTTTTAATACCACGAATCAGAAAGGTATCATTCTACGTCAATGTTAAAATATGATGATATTGAATCAAACAAGGAGTTCAAAAAATACGCTATTTAAAAAACAATTAAAGTAATAGTAGGCTGTAACGTCATAGATAACATTTAGGGACATTGGAAATTAAGGTCTATTAACCTATAAATAGAGTTAAAATCTTAATACATTTACTAATGAGAAGACAAATTAGTAAATTCCACGTACATTTTTATAACGCAACATTACTAATCACCTCTCTCCATAAAACGATTAAGATCATTTATTAATACATTTATAATAGCATATAGTTTATATGGTATATAAGGTAAGGATTTCAATAATAAAATCATTCAATAAGCAGTGCTTCAAGAGGAATAACCACGAATAACAAAGAATCCGTCCAACAACATGAAGTGGTTTGTGAGTACAAAAAAAATACCATACGCTCTACACATTTTACGTCCTTTGAAAATTATGTACATATAAAAAATAATACTTTTGCTCAATCTTAGAATCTATCTAAAGGCTTCTTAGTCCTCATATTGTATTTAAGGAAATGTGTTATTATTCTTTTTTGTAAAAATTAATAATATTTTTCAGGTGCTTTCCGTTCTAGCATGCTTAGTAGCTCATGAAGCTAATGCTCAACGGATGTTGGGTCGGTTGGGTCTGGGAGGTTTAGGGACAGGTTTGGGTTATGGAGACGAAATGCTTGGTCTAGATGGCGGTTTAGGCGTAGGCAGCGGGCTGGGTTATGGAGGATTAGGTTTAGGAACAAGCGGTTCGGGATACTCCCGCGGTAACGGTTATGGCGCCAGCGATTACAATTCTGGTGCCAGTGGCTTGGCGAACCAGGGGATGCACCAGGGTGGAATGGGGAACTACCACGACATTGGACAGCATCACAACAGCCTCACATCGGTTAGTAAAAATAATAACTTTAAAATATTTCCTTGGACCATAGAATCTAAGTCGAAATCTTTTTTGTGCAGATAACTCAAGCGGAGAACACTGACAACCACAATATCGGTGGAGGTCAAATGTATGACACAGGACTGCAATCTGGAAACCGTTTCAACCGATACGGCAACGGTGGCAGTCGCTATGGCAACGGATACGGAAGCGGACAGCAAATGACCTCCTTCCTATAAATATAGAATTTAATCAATACATTAAAAAATTAAATCAATCTATTCTACCTCAATATGCTCGAAATTTTATTTTCCGCTGTAAAAAACGAATATTATCAATTTTAATTTGCAATGCTATGTGTATTTAACTGATGAACCTCTTTAAAACAATAATAAAGAACCAAAACTTTTATGTTTTTTTTATTCCAATTGGATTATAAATTAACGTTATTGTTCTATTCTTTACCTGAAGATAAGATATTATGTAAGCTAGAATATGTTGATATTATTAAAATAAAATATACAAAAAACCATTATAAGATAATAATGAACAAATAGCATATGAAAGTGAATATTGAATAAAATATTTTTTAATAAGATGGTATAAACAGTTGTAATAGTCTGGTATTGCAAAGAAAAGGAACAGAAAGATATTATACATACATATGTATACTTAAAAAAAGGATTCTTTAACATACATTTTCATGCGACGGTCAGCATTTGGGTTGTTGAATGTTTAATGAGCTTGTGCAGAAAAAAAAATTTTATTGGCAGTGGAATGAGGAGAGAATTACATTGAAATTCGAAGAAGGAAGTGGTCATGCACATTGTGGGAAAAATCATACATCTTACTTCTGCTTAGTTCTCCAAGACATACAATATGATTTAGAGGAATAAGTCAATATTCATGGAAAGAAATTGGAAGCTTTAGTATGTCCACAAAATTAAAATTAGACAAATATATTACAGAAATAAAATATCTTGTTATGTTTGTGAAAAGAGGATATAAACGGTAGGCAGTGACGACCAAGTTAAGTCTTTGTTGTCGTGGCTTGAATGATTAAGTAATATAGGTAGAAGCGCAATATTTTCTACTTTCTCTCTGGTAGACTTCAAATTTATGCAGTATTCTTGAAGCACTGATTAAATCAGAAATTTTAATATTATCTTGTAAAGTATTATAAGGACAATGAGAAATAAACTGTACAAGAATCATAACATATTTAGATAATCCTAAAACCGACAGAATGTTAAAGTACATTGTAAAAATTACACTACAATTCCTCTGAATTACGGACAAATTAAAAATAAAGGGAGTTTAGAACGTTTATTTTCACTAGCTCTCATTAAAAAATTCCACAAACGGGTTATGACAATGAAAAAAATCTCTATTCTTACGAAAGTAACAAAAAAGACCAATAAAAACAAAATCTGAAAGCCGTCCGCGTTAACGATGAAAAAAAAAATTTAGGAGAGACGAAGCGAAAATGTTTTAAAATATTTATAATAAAAATCGTCCGAGAATTTTTTAAAAATGCCATTCAAAACAATTTTTTTTTATGAAACGAATACGCCTGAATGAAAACTATTAACGAAGCAGATGAATTTTCAGTTGAAGAATTTTGCTAATATTTTTTTTAGGTGATGATACAATTGTTATGTTACAAGTTATAATCGAGTTAAATATTAAACTATACATTATTATAGCATACAACAGAGGTCGCTGCTCCGTACACCGTAAGTTCATTTACCAGCATGTTAACATAATCAGCGGCAAGTGCAACTTGGCACGTACCACTCATTTATGTAGGGTAAAAGTTCAGCATATTATATTTACCAAAGCGTTAAAATTTTCTCTAAAACCAGCCAAATTTAACTTGCATTATTTCATAGTTCCACCGTCATTGTTGTATGAAGACGTTGTTGAACTAACTTAATTTTTGTATGCTAACAATGTTGCATGTTATATCAATTATGTATACTAGCTGACCCGGCAAATGTTATTTGACATATAAAAAATAGGGGTCAGTGATAAAAAGTAAAAATTTTGGGTTATATGTATTTTAATGCTTCATGATAAAAGAAAAAAAATTAAAAAATTCGTCCGAAAATAAAAAATAATAATTAATGGTGAACAACCTTTAAGACTTAGGGGTATGAAAAATAGATGTTGACCGATTCTCAGACCTACTCAATATGCTAACAAAATTTCATCAAAATCGGTCGAGCCGTTTTGGAGAAGTTTTCTATCTAACACCCTGAGACGATATTCTTATATATAAGAAAATAACATTGCCTAATATTTGTTTGTATATAAATAGTAATAATGGCAGCAGTGTAAGGGATGTCGAAATCGGCTCGCCTTGTTCTGACGTCAGTTTACGATGTAATTATTATGCATTGAATACTGCGGACATTTTAGAATATTGGGATTATATTATACATAAAATTAAACGATAATTTATTTTAAAATATCTCACCAATATTAAATGGCTCACGAAATATGCGATGTTTGAAGAAAAACGTAAACAAAAAAATATGATTAATATAAATCATTTGTAATGGCGTCCTTGCGTGATAAATTTGTGTAATCATTTTATAATTTAAGATAGCCAACCGAAACCAATGCCCGTTTTTACATTTCATATTATAATACGCGAGGTAGAAACACAATATTGGCAACATCAAAATGACGTGAATGACGCCTTTTAACATGTAAAGGCAGACCCTGGCTATAGCTGGGAAAATTGCCAGGTAGAAGAAGAACGCCTTTTAATCTTGACCCAGCAACGATTGTTTCATATATAATAAAAAATGCCATTATATTTTGAACCCCATGACTCAGACTCTGTGCATGATGTAACAAAAACCACTACGTGCTTTTAATATGGGTGAAGGTAGTTACGCCTGTAAAATATTTTACGAGCATAATATTGTATTAGAATTACGTTCAAGGCGGTTATAATAACGACTAATATATGAGGTTTACCGTTCATTTAGTACGATAGAATTAATCATATAATTAATATTTGAATAAAATCACCCAATAATCATTTTTATCCTACAGAGTACTATTCATTTACATAGGTGAATTAGTGACTTTTGGCTTTTCATACCGCAAGAAGCTGTATTTTAAGTCAAAATATATTATAAAATAAAAAAAACTTTTTAGATACAATTATTCCTTATTATAACTTGTACGGTTTATATAATACCTCTGCATACTCAGATAAAAACCTGCTCTTCTTACTGACTCTGCATTGCTTGTATCTGACTTACCTGTGAAATAAAATAGAATTAATTAAAATGTTTACTTTATAACTTTATTATAAAAATTACTGCTACTTTAACAATGAATCAAAAAAACAAACATTTCTTGTCGATTATCACATAAATGTTACAGACCAGTTGATTAATCGAAGTTTATTACGACGATCAAAAAAGAAATACTTTAATAAATACACTAAAATATCATAGCTATAGAATATAGGCGATATAACAACCAAGTTTAAAAGCTTCTGAAAGGTTCAAAGGATGTTGTGTTAAACTCGACAAACACGAACGAAGACAGATGATAGCTCAGTGGATATCCGAGATAAATGGTTACAGTCATCTATCAACGGGATGCGTCTAGCGTTTAACCCATCGCCATTGTAATTAAAAGGGTTTCCAGACACCAGGTGGTTTTTATGGCTGATAAAAAATCATTTTTAATTCGTGGCACGCGGATGTATTACGGAATTATTATTATAGTTACTACAACAAACAGAAAACGTTATCAAGATCTAATACTTTAGCGAGTTAATACTCGCTATTATAATAGTCTACCCTTGATGACGGTTTCTGAAAAGTATCCGAAACGTCGGTAGTATGTAGTTTTTAAAATAATAAAATAAACTTAGTATAATCATTATCATCATATTAGTTTCATTTAAAAAACGAATTGTTATCTGTATACATTTTAATATGATATTTACTCGTAAGCTTCTTATGTGTTGCTAAAACTTTAAAATTATATTGATGAAATAAACTAAGCTGTTGGAATTTACTAAATAATTAGTTAAAGCGAAATAACAGCTTTGTTTGCTACATAAAATGCTAACATAGTTGTGTAAATGGAAAGAAAATTTGATTTGCAACTGCAATCAAATCAAACATTTAGGTCCTTGCATACGAATTATTGTTAATACATAAACATATGTAGTTTCACTTGAAAGCTTCAAACATAAATCTATGTAGTTTCCAAGACATATTTAACAGAGCGATAGTTACGTATTTCAGGTCGTACGTCTAGTTTACTACGCAAGACGTCTATAAACTTTCATTTGACATTAAGTGAATGGTTTGAAGAAAAGTTTGTTCATAAAACACGAGAACTTGGACGTTTATACGTTGGACGTGATGTATTACGAGGAAACTTGCAATGCTAGCGGTCGGACTTTCAGTTTGGATACAATTTTGAAGGTACAGTCCGCATAAAAGTTTATTCAATAATAACACAAAAAGATGAATATAAAATAATGAATTTGTTTTTTTGTCTGTCAATACTAAAAAAAAAAGGAAAATTGGAATAGTAACAAAATATTCTTCTATATATTTTTTCATTTAAAAACAATATTTCAATCCGGCCTCCAATACGAAATCTTTTTCAAATATTAACACCCTTAACAACTGAATAGTACGATATTTTTTAAGCCATACAAAACTAAAACCTTTTGATAACAAACAGAAAATCAAGCAGAGCGTATTTTACTAAGCCGATAGATTTAACATCATTAAAACATTTCCATATAACATATAGTGAGAAATAGCAACATTTATTCAGTTCAAGATAAAAAAAATGCACCCATAAGTAACATTAAAACTGAGT